GCCAAGGGACTTACCTCTAATCACACCTAGTCGAAATCCCCCTTCAATTCCGTCCAATAGCACCCAAGCTCGCTTAAAAATGGTGGAAATAACATAACCCTCGCGGAACAAAATGAATATAAAACTCTTACTAGCTTCAGGGGTTTCCGCTTCTGCGGTCCCCACGCCCGCTTCCGCGCAACCGCTTCTGCGGTTTCTGTCCGCTTATGCGGAATTTCATTAAAACTCAAGGGCCGCTTCTGCGACACAAATTTCCGCTTCTGCGGAAGCTCACCTCCTGGCCAAATCCGCTTCTGCGACCGCCTGTCCGCTTCTGCGGACTTGCTTAAGCGAAAAGTGTTCCGCTTCTGCGGAACTGCCCAACTCCACTCCAGACCGCTTTTGCGACCAAGATTACGCTTCTGCGGAACCGCTTATGCGGTCCATTTTCGCAGAAGCGAACATACCAGATACCAGCAAAATCTGCCATTTCTTCAACTTGAATTTCATCCCGATAGCCTTCCGAAATCACCCCGAGGCCCCCGGGACCTCAACCAAAAGCACCAACATGTCTTAAAACATCATACGAACTTGCTCCAATCATCAAAACACACCTAACAACACTAAAATCATCAATTCACATCGGATTCAAGCCTAAGTTCTTCAAGAATTTCCGAAATGCACTTTCGATCAAAAACCCGACCAAACGATGTCCGAATGACCTAAAAATTTGCACACATATCCAAAATCACTTAACGAAGCTACAACAACTCTCGGAATTCCATTCCGACCCCCGGATCAAATTCTCACCCATCCACCGGAATTCGCCAAAATACTAACCTCGCCAATTCAAGCCTAATTCTACACCGAGCCTCCAAAATCAATTCCGATCACACTCCCAAGTCACAAATCATCCCCCGAAGCTAACCGAATCACCGGAAATCACATCCGAGCCTTCTAACTCATAAGTCAACGTCCGGTTGACCTTTCCAACTTAAGCCTTCCTTAAANCTTTCAAAATCCGTTTTTACATCACAACTTTTCAAGCCCTAGCTTGACCCGTTTTTGATGAATTTTCCACAATTTACATGTAATTTCTACCATAAACTCGAATATTTAGACCAAGGAACTTACCTCCAATTGATTCTCAGTCAAAGCCCTCGAAAATTCTCGCTCAAAGCTCTCAAAACCGCTTTAAAATGGTGGAAACCAACTCTTGTTCGCGGATGAAAACAATATAAAAAAACCCTTCTGTAACAGTTGTTTTCGCTTCTGCGACAATTTCACCGCTTCTGCGGTTTCCGCTTCTGCGGCCTACTCACCGCATCTGCGGTTTTCCTTCAAGTCGCCCAGGACCGCTTCTGCGGTCCCAAAACCGCTTCTGCGGTCCCAAAACCGCTTCTGCGGTCCCAAAACCGCTTCTGCGGTGACCGTTTTTGCGGAACTTCGTCCGCTTCTGCGGAAAGCCCTGGTCCCTCAAGGACCGCTTCTGCGATCAATACGCCGCATCTGCGGAACCGCTTATGCGGTCCCTTTTCCGCAGATGCGGAAATGACAGAACCAGCAACTTCAAACCTGCAACAAACTCCGAATTCTTCGTTTAACCACCCGAATTCACCCCGAGGCCCCCGGGACCTCAACCAAAAATACCAATACATCCTAAAACCTCATTCAAACTTGTTCCCATCATCAAACCACATCAAACAACGCTAAAGCCATCAAATCACATCGAATTCAAGCCTAAGTTTCTTAAAAACTTCCGAATTACGCATTCGATCAAAAACCCGACCAAAACACCTCCGAATGACCTGAAATTTTGCACACATATCCAAAATTACCTAACGAAGCTACAACAACTCTCGGAATTCCATTCCGACCCCCGGATCAAATTCTCACCCATCCACCGGAATTCGCCAAAATACTAACCTCGCCAATTCAAGCCTAATTCTACACCGGGCCTCCAAAATCAATTCCGATCGCACTCCCAAGTCACAAATCATCCCCCGAAGCTAACCGAATCACCGGAAATCACATCCGAGCCTTCTAACTCATAAGTCAACGTCCGGTTGACCTTTCCAACTTAAGCCTTCGTTAAAGAGACTAAGTGTCTCATTTCCTATCCAAACCAATTCAATTCAACTATAACTCACTCGTTGCTGATAATGAAACATGAAGAAGCAGTAAATGGGGGAAACGGGGCTGTAATACATGAGACGACGGGTCGGATCGTTACATGATGTTCCTTCCTCCTCTATACCTTCTGTTTCTCCTCCTGATATAGTCATTCCTTCTGATCTTCCCTCTACTTCTGCTCCTTCAACATCTTCCTCTCTCCTTGCTACTAGAAAAAGCACCAGAAATCACACATTACCTTCACATCTTAGTGACTTTGTTGTGCAAATTCTTCCTTCCATTTCAAGCTCAACTACTTTATCTCTCTCTGCTGCACACACAACTCAAGTTGAGCCTCATTCATATTCTCAGGCAGCTACTAGTTTAGTCTGGCAGGAAGCCATGAGAAAAGAATTTGAGGCCTTAGAAGCTAATAACACTTGGTCTATAGTTTAGTTACCTAAGGGTAAGAAGCCTATTGGATGTAAATGGGTGTATAAAATTAAGTACAAGGCTGATGAGAGTGTAGAAAGATATAAGGCAAGATTGGTTGTAAGGGGTGATACTGAAATTGAAGTTATTGATTTTAATGAAACTTTTTCTCCGGTTGTCAAAATGTGTACTATTAGGTGTCTAGTTGCTTTTGCCATTAAAAAAGGGTGGTCCTTGTATCAATTGGATGTGAATGATGCATTCCTTCATGGGGACCTAGATGAGGAAATATATATGAAGTTTTCCCAAGGTCTCACAGTTGCTTCGTCTTCTAAATTTACTTCTCCTTTGGTTTGTAAGTTGCAAAAGTCCCTTTATGGCTTAAAACAAGCCTATGGACAATGGTATGCTAAGTTGTCACAAGCACTTTGCACTAGAGGTTACACACATTCTTTAAATGATTACTCTCTTTTCATCAAAAGGTCCGACTCATCTACTGTGTTTCTTGCTGTCTATGTGGATGACATTATCCTTACTGGGGATGATCCTACAGAGATCAATGCTCTCAAAATGTTTTTAAATGATCATTTTAAAATTAAAGACTTAGGATTACTTAACTATTTTCTGGGAATTGAGTTGTTATATGTTGATTCTGGGTACTTCTTCATCAAAGAAAATTTGTTTCGGAGTTAGTTGCTGAATATGGATGTTCTAATGCTTCTCCTGTTTCTTCCCCACTTGAGTTATGTGTTAAACTCAAGTCTGATGTTGGGGTCTTGCTGCCCAATCCTGAGTCTTATAGAAGTTTAGTTGGAAAATTGAATTTTCTCACTCATACCAGGCCGGATTTATGTTTTGCTGTGCAACACTTGAGTCAGTTTCTTAAGTCACCTCGTTTGCCCCATATGACTACTGCGTTACATGTTCTAAGGTATTTGAAAGGTACACGTGATGTTGGGGTTCACCTCAATGGTTCTTCTGATTTTTCTGTACAAGCCTTTTGTGACAGTGATTGGGCTTCTTGTTCTGATTCGCGGAGATCAGTTTCTGGATATTGTGTGTTTTTAAGGGGTAGTTTTATTAGCTGGAAATCTAAGAAATAAGCCGTCGTCTCCTTGTCTTCTGTTGAAGCAGAATACCGGGCCATGAGTAAAGTGGTGGCTGAACTAGTTTGGTTGGTTCGTTTGTTAGCAGATTTGGGTATGCCTTTGTCCAGCTCTATTCCTGTTTTCTGTGATAGCTTGACTGCCCTTCACATCGCTAAACATCCTGTTTTCCATGAGCACACGAAACATATTGAAGTTGATTGTCACTTCATCCGCACTAAGTTGGCAGATGGCCTTATTTCTTTACATCATGTTCCTACCTCTTCTCAGCTTGCTGACATCTTTACTAAGTATTTGACAGGTGCACATCACAGGTTGTTGCTTGGCAAGTTGGGCGTGTTACCACCCTCCAACTTGATGGGGGGGGGGGGGTATTGGAGTTACCTGATGTTAGTTATTAGATTTGGGCCTGTTGTTAGTTAGTTCATTAAGATTTGGCCCAGTTGTATTTATTAACAGACGCGGCCCACTTTTTTCTCTTAGTTGATTTTCTTTCTGACCCAATGTAAATAGTAGTTCAGATATTCTTTTGTAGTAACTCTTCAAAGGAAGTAACGAAAAACTCTCTGGAAGCTTCTTCTTTGAACATGAACCCTAGTTTCATTCTTCTCCATTTTCGTTCAATTTACAAACATTAACAATATAACCTCGAGAAATATCTACTATTATCAAAAGATTAGGAGTAAGCAACGTAACAGTCTTTTAAAAAGACACCAACACTATTTGTTTTTCTTTTATTTATATATAATCATTTAGACGGATTAATATATTTCCAGCATATTAGTGAAAAGGCTATTAGAGTAAGCGACACATGAATGATATAACAATCAAGCCTGATATATGTACATGTATCTCGATAGAAATGCTATAAAATGTATGAATACTCACGAAAGTATGGATGTATCTTGGGGTACACAATCTGTCTCATTATAATCTCTTGCTCTCCTAGAGAGTTGAGAGGTTCAGTCCTTCCGTTTTCTATTTGAAAGTATCCAACAATGTTTAGAAAAAGCATTTTTGTTTCAAGTTCCACCAAAACTACACTGCTTATCAAGGCCACCACTAATAGTTGTGACCCTTAATGAGATACGAAGCGTTCCTTGGTGTGTGTACCGTTAGATTTTTATTTTATAAATAAGATATTGAAACTATTTAAAAGGGTATTTTTGTAATTTAACTTTTGCCTTAGGATCTTCCCACTTATATGTATATAGATATAGATAAATGCTATCTCAAAATTATCAGTTCTTACTACTTCCGTTACCACCTCACTGAACAGTCCCCAAAGAGCCAAATCAACCACAACTAGCATATTCATATTTATTTTAAAAAATAAAATTAACAATTATATAAATGATAAACAAACTATTTATAGATTTTTCTCTTTTCATTTGACGTCCTTTTGACTCTTGTCACCAATAGTCAGAACAAGAGCATGAACCTAGCTTGAAACAGTGAAAGCGACTACGATCTCTTATTACAATTTCTCTATTATATACTTTGGAAACAATCTTCATGGCAGAATGACAATCTCGGCATATCCTTAAATTCTTGAAAATATAAAGAGGCATGCCAGCCGGTATGCTTATGAGCCCAAAACAAACAGCCAACTTCTCGCTGTGAGTGAACAATGCCTGCTCCTTCTCCTCATGGCTGTTACTGTAATACCCACCATTATCAGATCCTGAAAACTTTTGGCAGGCTGTGTCTGGTACATAGCCAGCCACTCTTATTTTCTGAATCATCTCATCCAACATCATATATATCTCTTGACTTTGCAGATGCAATGTATCTCCTGCACTGAAGCAATGAATTTGGCCACCAACATAAATAGAACTCATGCCAGGCACTTTTCTTATCCCTCTGTTTCTAAGAACTACTCGAATAGAATCTGCCTCGTCATCTTTTCCAGCTAAAGAGTACATGTTGGAAAGCAAGACATGATACTCGGTGTTATCAGGATACATTTGGACCAGCTCTTTCATTAGGCATTCCCCCAGCTCAAGGTTTTTATGGACACTGCAGGACCCCAATAGTGATCCCAACACAACTTCATTGGGGGCAATCGGCATTCCTCTGATTATGGACTCTGCTTCTTCAAGATGTCCTGCTCGGCCCAAAAGATCCACAATGCAAGAATAGTTCTCTACAGAAGGCTTTATTCCATATGATGATTCAAGGCTATAGAATAAGTGGCGACCTTGAACAACTAAACCTGAGTGACTACAAGCACTTAACACAGCTGTAAATGTTACATCATCTGGTTTGACCTCTCTAACCATCTGAGCAAACAAATCCAATACCATATCTCCCTTTCCCTGCATTGCCAGTCCGCTTAGCATGGTATTCCATGTAACTACGTTCCTTTGAGGCATCACCTTGAAAACTCGAAAAGCATCATCAATCCTCCCACATTTAGCATACATGTTAATCAAGGCAGTTGCCACCATTATATCGATTTCATGTTTTATCATCTTCAAAGCATACATGTGTACCCATTTACCCAACATCACATTCCCTGACTGTGCACAAGCTGATAACCATGAACAAAGTGTCACAAAATTCAACTCAAATCCAGATTCAAATACCATGTTACATAGAAGCCCAAAAGCTTCCTTGGTTAAGCCGTTCTCAATATACGCTGCAACCATTATTGTCAAAGCTACTTCATTTCTCTCAGGCATTTGATCAAACAACAACCTTGCTTTTTCCAAACCTTCCCACTTCACCAATCCCCCCAAGAGCACAGTCCAAGAAACCAGACTCTTTGCTCCCATCTCATTAAAAATCCTTCTTGTCTTATCAATTAACCCACACTTCACGTACATATCCATAGCAGCATTACATGCTTTAATACTTGAACTAAACCCCATTTTGACCAAACAACCATGTCCCTGAACTCCAAATTGATCACACCCCAATTTCGCGCATGCAAGGAACACAATAACCATAGTAAATTCATCAATCGGAACGTTGCTCTTCCTCATATCAACAAACAAGCTGAGGGCATCAAGGGGCAACCTTCCGTGTGCATAGCAGCCCATCAATGTTGTCCAGTCGACAGTGTCTTTGTATGATAGCGGAATTTTATCAAACATCTTGCGTGCAGAGAGAACACACCCACACGCTGCATACATGTGGAGAATAGCATTACGGATAAATGTGTTTGGGAAGGATTCGAGGCCTGTGTTGACAACGGAAGCGTGGAGCTTTTGTCCCACGTCCAAAGCTAGATATCGAGCGCAAGTTCTGAAAAGGGTCCGATAGTGGCGAGCCAGCAATGAGAGAGTACACTCGGTTCGCCATATCATGAGAAAGCTAGTATACTTGTTTCAAAAATGGATCTAAATTCAGCATATAATAGGAATATGATGTTATAGCGAGGGTACGATATAAGAAAGAGGGAAAATATAAAGTGGGACGGCGTTTAGAGGTGATTAGCTATCAAGCTTAACAGAATTTGGGGACTAACTTTTGGTAAGTTAATGATGTCTTTTAAAATACATCTATTTATGGCCTTTTTTTTGGACCAAGCAGAGTGCATTGGTCAAAATTTGGACCGGACTTAATAACTGCAAATGGACGTGGTCGAGGATTAAGCCGACCACGGCACAATGGCGAGGAGTTGTCTTAAGAAGGATTAGTGCCGAGGTCAAGTAAAGAGTGTGCGGAAGCAACGGGTAGAATAAGTTTAGAATAGAAAGAAGGAATATTCCATTGGATATTCTTTCAGTTGTACTTTTTAGGGTTTTTTAGGAATATCCCTATAAATAGGAAGAGATAAAGAACAAAAATGGGATCTCTAAACTTTTGAGAGAAGAACAAATTGTAAAGGTTGACTACAGAGGATATACAAACAAAGCTTGTCTTGTCCACTGATTCCACATATATCTTTTACTCGCAAGATCCAAGGATCTCTGGTCCACCTTCGTTCTATATTATCCCCACGTTGTTGTCAGAAAGGAGAATGATATAAGTCATCTAACATTTGGGTGACAAGTTTCTTCTTATTACATTTATTGTCATTATCTATTGCAAGCTATCTTTATGGCATTCATTGACAATCATTGAGCACTCTTAATTGGCATTCAATACTATCGGACACGATTCTACGTCGTTAACGCTTTAAGTCTTCATATTTAGTAGTTATTATATTTAACTAGGATTCACCCCCTATTTTTTTATTAATTCGTTTTAAGAAAATGTTTAACACTTTTTTGGTAAAATAATTTGGCGCCATCTGTGGGGAGTTTCTAGTTAAACTTTTAGTTTCTTCCAGATAAAAAAAAAAACGACAGCAGCCATCGTTTTCTCATTTGCAAACTAACAATGGCAGGAAAGGGAGATGAAAGACTGAAAGCAGTAGTGGACGTCAACGCCAACCTTTTGAACACCATCAATGAGGTTGACAGAGAAGACGAGGAGAATGTGACGCTGAGCGCTACATCCAGGCGGAGTGACTCACCTCCCCCTCATGGAAGTGTAACCGCTTCACGGTGAAGGGAGACTCCACGTCCACGATTGAGGAAGCGCCACCAGCAGTAAAAAAACTACTGGAGACGTGGTTGACAAGTACTCTAAACAACATACTCGACAAACCCGTTCAAGGGGCGAGTAGAAGCGTCGCACGAGCGGATGCCACAGCAACCACCAACGAGCAACCCGCTCCCGCTCCTCTCCCAACAGGTAACACTCACACCGCTGTTGATGCAGTTAATAATGCACTTGCGGCCATTCTAAAGAAATTGGAAGAAATGGAGAACGAGAATAAAGCGCTCCGCGACCAAATGAGGGAGCATCAAGAAAAGGTTGATAAGATACCGGGTGCCCCAAAACTGCTACCAAAACGGGACGTCGGCCGGTTCGTCAAACAACCATATAGCGAGGAGGCAGCCCCACACGCCATACCCAAGACCTTCAAAATGCCACCATATTTGAAGATATACGACGGCACAACAGACCGCGAAGATCACATCATTCATTACGTCATAGCAATAAAAGGCAACGACCTCTCAAAAGAGCAGGTACCATCAGTGTTGGTGAAGAAGTTCGGCGAAACCCTAATAGGGGGAGCCTTAACATGGTACTCACAATTACCAGCACGTTCAATAACAACGTTCGAGGAAATGGCCGGCAAGTTCGTCACCACCCACGGCGGGGCTAAGAAGTTAGAGGCCAGGGTGAATGACATATTCGCCGTCAGACAATCGCCTGGTGAGGGACTCAGAGACTTCCTCCCCCGGTTCAACAGAGTAAGAATGAGCTTGCCAAACGTATCAGAAGGGATGGCGGTGGCAGCTTTCCAAAATGGGTTGAACAGGAATAGGTCGAGGGTGACCAGAAAGTTGTTAAGCAGACTCATGAAATACCCTCCCACCACTTGGGAAGAAATTCACAACGCCTATTGCACCGAGGTGAAAGCAGACGAGGATGACCTCAACGGTCCAACCCAACGGCTAACGTTAGTCCAAACGGAGTCGAGGAAAGACCGCCGTAATGACAGCCGAAGAGGCCATTCAGGTCCACGCCTCAACCGGAACAGGCACCAACCATATGTCAGAATAGCCATCCCACCATCTCCTCGCCATATAGAAGGGCCGTCCAGGCCACATACAGGGATTCAGCGAAACGAAAAGGTATGCCTCCACTCTTATCTGCTCACAACTTTTGTGTTTCCCCTTCAGAAATAGTGTACGCACTAGGGAAGCTCGGCCCGAAGGTGAAGTGGCCGCAAAAGATGAGGTCAGACCCAAACACCAGAAAGTCGAATGCCCTCTGCGAGTTCCATCAGGAACGAGGCCACAAGACCGAAGATTACATAGCCCTCCGACAAGAAGTAGTGAACATGCTCCACCAAGGACATTTAAAAGAGCTGATGAGCGACCGAGGAAGAACCAACTTCGGTCGTGGACGAGAACAACACCAAGGCCCTCCAAAGCCACCTTCCCCCGCCCGCACCATCCAAATGATCATCGGTAGAGACGACGAAGCAGCAGTCAATCACGTGAAGTTCACCACCACACATAAACTGAAGCGGTCGATCATCCATGAATGGTATGATGACCTCGAAGATAGTATCATCTTCGATAAGTCAGATACCCATGGTTTGACCTTTCCTCACTTCGATGCTCTTGTCATTACTTTACGTATTTCAAATACTGATGTAAAAAAATAATAGTAGACGATGGGAGCAGCGCGTGTATTATTCACCCTCGAGTTCTCGCATAAATGAGACTCGAGGACAAGATAGTACCACGCGGCATAACGCTAACAGGTTTTAACAATGCAGTTGAGCGAAACTCAGGGGAGATAACGCTGCCCGTTTTGGCCGGGGGCGTCACCCTAGAAACAACATTTCATGTCATGAACCAGGACACAGCTTACAACGCCATCATAGGGCGACCCTGGATACACGCCATGGGGGCCATCCCGTTCAGCTTATATCAAGTAATCAAGTTTCCCACTCCGTGGGGGATATTCAGCATCCGAGGCGAATAGCGCACAGCCCAAGAATGCTACCGCATCGCCCAAGATTGTACACACACCCAACAGTTAAAGGCAATAGGCTCAGGAGCATAGCAATTACCAAAGTTGGAGCCCGAACTCGACGAACAAAAAGACGTCATCAAGGATCCCGACGCCGTGGAGGCCACAGGGTCAACGGTAGAAGACCTCGACCCCGTCCAACTAGACAATAGCGACCACAGCAAAAAGGCTTACATTGGCCATAAACTCTCAGAACCACGTAAATTTCATAAATTTTTAATTGACAACGCCGATATGTTTGCTTTCTACCATGCAGATATGCCAGGTATTCCGAAAGACATTGCCACACACAAGTTCAACATCGATCCACTACCTGCGGGTACGACAAATAAAAAGAAAATTCAACGCCGCAATCAATGAGGCCGTCCGTGATCAAGTGGAAAAACTACTCGCTAACGGCTCCATCAGAGAGTCGAAATACTCCCAATGGGTAGCCAACGTGGTCATGGTGAAAAAGAAAAATAAAAAGTGGCGGATGTGCGTGGATTTCATGGACCTAAACAAGGCCTGCCCGAAAGAGTCCTTTCCGTTGCCTCACCTCGATCAACTCATCGACACAACGACGGGACACGAGTTGTTAAGTTTCTTGGACGCCTACTCAGGTTACAACCAAATCCTCATGGAGGAGGAGGACCAGGAAAAGACCACTTTCATCACCCATCAGGGGACGTATTGCTACAGAGTCATGCCATTCGGGTTGAAGAATGCAGGGGCGACTTATCAAAGGCTGGTCACATTCGAAGAGGCTTAAATCTCAACTCTATGATTTTCAGTTTACTAGGCCCCAAAATAGCCCAATACGCGAGAGTGCAATTAAATTGGGCTTCAGGCCCAAATGAGGGCCAGAAATTAGACAACCAGTGGTTATCAAGGCTTCATGCCATTGGGCTAACGTGAGCCCAGCAGCAAGGCTTAATTCGGAACACACTGATGATGGAACAAAACTGGAATTCACACAATCACCATGCCACAGCTATTTCACCCTTTGATCAACACTTAAATTTAAGAACCAACTGATGAGTAAACAACTAAAACTAGCGTGAACTATTAACTTCGATTACTGACCTAGAATCGTCAACATTTGCATTGAACATTTGCTTAGAATTGTACTCAACGTGACCAACCATTAACTCCAACTCAATTGCAAACTTAAACTGTTTATGATTTTGAATTTTACACAGAAAATTGCTAGGCTAAACAAGTATTANTTCTTGGACGCCTACTCAGGTTACAACCAAATCCTCATGGAGGAGGAGGACCAGGAAAAGACCACTTTCATCACCCATCAGGGGACGTATTGCTACAGAGTCATGCCATTCGGGTTGAAGAATGCAGGGGCGACTTATCAAAGGCTGGTCACCAAGATGTTCGGGTTGAAGAATGCAGGGGCGATATGTTGGTCAAATAAAAAAGGAAGGAAGACCACATCGACCATCTGAAGGAATCCTTCGATATACTAAGGCGATATGGCATGAAGCTAAATCCCGAAAAGTGTGCCTTCGGCGTAACCTCGGGCAAGTTCCTCAGCTTTCTGGTATCATAAAGAGGCATTGAGGTCAACCCGACCATATCAAAGCCATCGAGGAAATACCCGAAGTATTGACCGGCAAGAAACAAGTACAAAAGCTGACCGGCCTTATAGCTGCCCTATCGAGGTTCATCTCCCGATCCTCTGACAGATGCCACAAATTCTTCAACGTGCTTAAAAAGGACAACGGACTCTAGTGGAATTCAGAATGCATCGAGGCCTTAAGAGAACTAAAGGCATACTTTTCCTCGCCCCCGCTACTCGCCAAAGCAGAACTCGGCGAGCGCCTCCTGATATACTTGGCCGTATCAGAGGTCACAGTAAGTGCAGTGCTGGTCCTTGAAAAAAAAGGTACGCAATCTCCAATCTATTACATTAGCAAAACCCTGGTCGATG